AATACCACATACCAATCACAACAAATGCAGCTGAAAAAAGTCACAATAGTTCTAAAGTAGAATATTAATGGAACATTTTAGAGAAAAAAACACTTGTTTTGTAGACAATCTCTGACATACAAATATATTTATAAGTAGTTCCGATTAATATAGAATTGACCGTCATACGCGAATATAACATAACGCAACACCATAATTGATACAAATACTATCTATCGCTTAAAACACTCTTCTTTTTGAATAATTACTCAAAGGAATCAACATTTAAGCAACATTCCCAAGTTTCATTCTCATTCTACTAATATTTAAACAATGCTATTACCAGAAACCGTTCAAACTAATTCACATATACTTACGAGGCATGACCTGCTTAGATTGATTCCATCAATGTACAGAACAAGATATACTGCTCTAAAATACCCATCATGACTACGTCTCACAAGGATGTCACACACTACTGATTACCCGACAATGTTTTCCACTCATAACTTACGCCAATAACTTTTGAGCGTATCACAATTAACTTAGTCTTGCACTATCACCAACTAGATCTTGAAGGCAGACTATTCATAAATAGAATAAGAACAATTCCTAGTAGTCATAAGAACTTGTCTTCTCATATGAAAAAACCTTATTTTGTTTTCATCCACTCGCATATAGTAACAAGTTAACGGAGAGGAACCAATTACCCCAACAATGATCCTTTCAAACAACTTTACACATTACCAAAATATGGTGAACTAAAGTAGAAGAGGAAAATTGATTAGAAACAAGCTTAAGATGAACATTGACCTTAGGCACTGGGGAAAATGAACACAGAACTGGCTGAGACACTTTACATTTCCCTATCCCAAGTGAAGCACCTGAAAGAAGCAGAAAAGTCAGAGCTGAAAATCTTATAAATGTTCAAATGTTTCTCAGAAATGCTAAATATCGAAGGCATGCAGCTCAGGCTCGGCTTGTATATGGATCTCTCTATTTAATGGCTACATGTTTTTTTTTTTTATCTTTTTTGCTTTCTTTACTGGAGGTAGTCATTTTACAGCTGGAAGAATGGACATATCAGTAATTTGATCATTGGGCAGTTGGCTACATCTAGTTAGTTTGTTCTTATGGTCAGATCTCATCTAAGCACAAAACTTCTAGTAATAATTTACTCATTACAAACGAATATACCAATTAATGCAGATAAAAGACATGCTACATGATGGTTACAATTTATAAGAAAGATTTCAGGGGCTTACTCTTGCTTGGTGGAGTACAGGGAACAAAAGCAAGATGTGGTAACTTCAGAAGCATCTATCTTCCGTGAAACTATGCTTCTATACCCCCAGTGAACTAATTCAGAGATTAGCCTTCAAATATTAACATGTTGACAAGCAAAAGATTGGATTATAGGCACTGCAACACAATAAAGACTTATCAAACAATTCTAAACAGATTAAATATCCAATTTAATAGAATACTTGAAAATATGTATAAAATAGCCCTTGAACCCAGAACTTTGATTACCAGCTGTTTAGTGCAAGAGAACGACACAAGTAAGCACTCTTTTACTTTACTTGTGTCATTTTTGGGAAATTCGTCATAAAGTCACAACTAAAAGATGCAACTTGATTGTATGTATTGAGATGAAGTTGGATAAAATATCATTTATCCAATAACACACATTGACTACAAGTTTGATAAAGTCATAGGTGGATCAACATTGAGGGCCTGGGTTGCACAGATCCCCTGGAACTAATCTTTTAGAATAATTACATTGATAAATAAATAAAAGGTTATATGGTCCCCAATATAATTTCAGTTTTTCTATTAACAAATTTTAAAATTATTTCAATGAGATAAGCAATTACTTCGTTATTTATATCGTATAGGAATCCTACTAATTGTTTTTCTTCATTTGACATATAACTATTGATTGAATTTTCTTCATTAGACAAGAAAATTGATTTGGTTTGATGGATTTTTTTCTTGTCAGTTATTAACATTAGTTTAGACACTTCATCTTGATAAACCATTATTTTTTAAGGTTGGCATAATATGTTGCTGTAAGTTGATTCCAAATTTAGTATCAGAACTTATTATTAAATATTACGTTTTACTAAAACTATAATGAGTTGCTACATTAGCCCTTTGTCTTATATATTAGAGCAATGATAGGTGTACATAGAAATGTCTATACCCTCAGATAGAGTGAGGCCCGCTTAAAAAAAATATTTGAATTGACCACCACCCTATGCAAGTGTGTGTACAAACTAGGAAATACACCAAATTAAAAACAAGAAAAATTAACTTTCTAGATACTGATGTGTTGTTTATGACATGCCCCACCAATAAAAATTTTTGGATTTGCCTCCCACTGCAGTAAATGGATGAACATTGTACTAAAAAGTCGGGCGAGGCGTCCTGATTTTGTCTAGGCGGCCTTTCTAGGCGCTCGGCCAATTATAGGCCGCCTAGGCACCCGTATAATTTTTTTTATATTTTATATAGGTGTACATAGAAATGTCTACCCTCAGATAGAGTGAGGCCCGCTTAAAAAAAATATTTGAATTGACCACCACCCTATGCAAGTGTGTACAAACTAGGAAATACACCAAATTAAAAACAAGTAGAAAAATTAACTTTCTAGATACTGATGTGTTGTTTATGACATGCCCCACCAATAAAATTTTTTGGATTTGCCTCCCACTGCAGTAAATGGATGAACATTGTACTAAAAAGTCGGGCGAGGCGTCCTGATTTTGTCTAGGCGGCCTTTCTAGGCCGCTCGGCCAATTATAAGTCGGACGAAGACCGAGTACATGACGTGCGCTTTCAGCATGGCTTCACATGATGATGGTGACGTTACCCTTGACGGGCAAGTGGTGGCCAAGAAGGAGACTTTCCGGTATTTGGGATCGATGCTACAAAAGGATAGCGGCATTGATGCTGATGTTAGGCATAGAATTGCAGCCGGTTGGTTGAAATGGCGTCAGGCGTCGAGCGTTCTATGTGATAAGAGGGTGCCACAAAGGCTAAAAGGTAAGTTCTATAGGATGGCGATTCGCCAGGCCATGCTATACGGTGCTGAATGTTGGCCCCTACAAAAAGGCAACATGTCCAACAACTAAGTGTAGCAGAGATGCGTATGTTGCGTTGGTTCTGCAGGCACACAGGAAGGGATAGAATCCGGAATGAGGATATTCGAGATAGGGTCGGGGTGGCTCCAATTGAGGAGAAATTGGTTCAACATCGGCTGAGGTGGTTCGGACATGTCCAACGGAGGCCTCCTGATGCACTGGTGCGTAGGGGAGTTCTACAGCGGGTCGAGGATGTTAAGAGAGGTAGAGGTCGGCCTAAACTCACTTGGGAAGAGTCGGTTAAGAGAGACCTTATAGATTGGAATATCTCCAAGGATCTAGCGGTGGATAGGAGCGCTTGGAGGCTCGCTATCAACGTGCCAGAGCCGTGACTTTTGCTTCTTTCTCTCTCTCTCTCTCTTTTTTATTTTTTATTTTTTTGTTTTCGATGTCTTCCTTTCGGTTCGAGTCTTTTTGTGTTTCTCTTGGGTTTCATCTCTAGCCTACCCCGACTTGCTTGGGACTAAAGGCTATGTTGTTGTTGTTGTTGTTGTAATATTTTTTTTTTTCAAAAATAGTAAAAAACTGATTTTTATTCCATAATTATGAAATAAAAAAATAAATATGTAAAACTAATTATAAGTATAAAATATTTTTTAAAATCTTTGTATTTAACCATACTAAATAATATATTTTAGAAAGTATAGTTTGTAAGCTATGCATGATTGTAAATATAAATAAATTTACTAGAACTTTTAGATCTCGTCTAGGCACCGACTAATCTCCGCCTAGGCACTCTAGGAGCTAGGCCCTAACTCGCCGCCTAGCGCCTTTTAGAACCTTGTGGATGAATGGAGACTATTCTTTTTAAATATGCATTCATCTACCATCATACAATAAAACTATTGAGTTCATTAATCCAGACATTTTTTTCTTTTTTTTTTTATGATAACGTTTTGAAGTTAGAATTGTTATAAATATGGTGGGTGTACCAAACACGAACCATTAATTAATAATATATGTGAATGACTATTCTGCCTCGCTGTAATTGTATTATTACGATTGTGCCAACAGAAGTTTTTCTATAAATAGGAGTTTCATTTATAATGAAAATTGTACCCAAGAGAATACATTCTCTCTAGTTTTATAACATGTTATGAGTCTCTGACCTCTAGAGCTCGATTTGTAATACGACGAGAATATGCTCTACAGTTGCATCTTATAAACGATCTTCGAAATCAGAATATTACAAATCGTTATTTTATTGAAATTATTCTTCAAGGTGTTTTTTTCTCTCAATTATAAATAATCACATATTTTTGTCATCTCCTAAAATATGATCATTGTTCAAGATAATTGTAATATTATTGATTATATTGTTCTTTTTTTAATGTGTTCATGTTTAGTAATTCATCTATTGTCTTGTGCATATCATACCACTTATGTTTTTAGTTTATTGCGAAAACTTGATAATCACTATGCTGTAATTAACTTTACTATTAAATATCATTCACGAAATCATAGTTTGATGATAATATGTATATTTATGATTAAAAAATAGAGTTTCACAATGTCTGATATCACCAAAAGAGAATTTGTTGAGCTCGCTCTTGATGGGAATAATTACTTGGGCCCTTGATGTTGTAATTCACCTACTCGTTTGACTTAAGTGCCACAATTGATTCTACATCTCATAGCACTCCCGCCCAGAAGGCGAAGGCACTGATTTTTCTTCGTCACCATCTCAATAAAGATTTGAAAAATGAATACCTCACAGAAAAAGAGCTCACAAATCTTTAGAAATCTCTAAAGTATCGCTTTGACCAACAAATGGCCATAATCCTCCCTCAAGCACAATTTGACTGGATTAATCTCCATTTTCAGGAATTTAAATCTGTTACTGAGTATAATTTGGCCCTCCATCGTATTGTCTCAGAGCTCAAACTCTGTAAGCAGAACATTACTGAGGTTAAGATGCTTGAGAAAACTTTATCTACTTTTCATGCTAACAACCTACAGGGCTAAAAACTATGCAACACATTCTGAGCTAATTTCTGCTTTGCTAGTGGCCGAAAAACACAATCGATAAAAAATCATAATGTTAGGCCAATTGGGACTCAAATAGTGATGCGACTACTCACGAACATAATAATATGCGAGGAAGAGGTCGAGGATATCATACCCAGCCACCCCGTGGTGGTCATGGCCGCGGTCATAGCCATGACTGGAATCGAAGTAGAGGATGAGGTCATGGTGTTGAGGAACCGACAGATCGTAGAGAAAATCTTAACATCGACGCTCCACAAGCTAATCAAGATAAGCACGTTTGCTATAGGTGTGGATGTAGTGGTTACTGGTCCCATACATATCGTACTCCTCGGCACCTAGTCGAGGCCTATCAAAGAACGCTCAAGGATAAGAAAGGGAAGGCTCCTCAAGGTGAATCACCACAGTCCTCGAGCTCAAGTTTCAATGAATCATCATTATTTATTGCTAAATTTGCTTCAGGCAAACTAGCGTGATGCACCTTGAGGAGCCTTTCCTTTCCTATCCTTGAGCATTCTTTGATAGGCCTCGACTAGGTGTCGAAGAGTACGACATGCGCGGGACCAGTGACCACTACATCCACACTTATAGCAAACTTGTTTATCTTAATTAGCTTGTGGAACGTCGATGTTAAGATTTTCTCTACGACCTGTCGGTTCCTCAACACCATGACCTCGTCCTCCACCTCGAGTCCAGACATGACTACGACTGCGACCACGACCACCACGGGGTGATTGGGTATGATATCATCGACCTCTTCATCGCATATTATTATGTTCGTGAGTAGTCGCATGTGCTTCAGGCACTATTTGAGTCCCAACTGGCCTAGCATTATAATTTTTTGTGTTTTTCGGCGACTAGTAAAGCAGAAATTAGCTAAGATATGTTGCATAGTTTTTAGCTCTGTACTGCTGGAGTACAAGGTTGTTAGCATGAAAAGTAGATAAAATTTTCTCAAGCAACTCAACCTCAGTAATGTTAAGCAAAGTTTGAGCTCTGAGACAATACGATGGATGGCCAAATTATACTCAGTAACAGATTTAAAATCCTGAAAACAAAGATTAAGCCAGTCAAATTGTACTTGAGGGAGGATTATGACCATTTGTTGGTCAAAGCGATCCTTCAGGGATTTTCAAATATTCGCGGGCTCTCAGTATCTCGGGCTTTAACTACCAG